AAACCTCAGTTCTTGACTTCCGTGCACCCACAGGCTTAAAACCATGTGGAAGCTGCCAAAGGCCTGGGGCTTGCACTGTCTGAAGCCAGGGCCCAAGCTGTACCTTGGCCCCTTTTGGTCACAGCTGGAGTGGCTGGGATGCAGTGCACCAAGTTCCTAGACTACACACAGCATGAGAACCCTGGGCCTGGCCCACAAAACCACTTTTTCCAACTAGGCCTCCAGGTCTGTGATGGGAGGTGCTGCCGTGAAGAACTCTGACATCCTCTAGAGACATTTTTCCCATTGTCTTGGGGATTAACATTTGGCTCCTCGTTACCTATGCAAATTTCTGCAGCTGGCTTCAATTTCTCCTCAGAAAATGTGATTTTCTTTTCTATCGCATTGTCAGGCTGCAAAGTTTCCAAACCTTTATGCTCTATTTCCCTTGTAAAACTGAAATGCTTTTAATAGCACCCATGTCACCTCTTGAATGCTCTGCTGCTTAGAAATTTCTTCCACCAGATACCCTAAATCATCTCTCTCAAGTTCTAAGTTCCACAAATCTCTAGGGCAGGGGTAAAATGCCACCAGTCTCTTTGCTAAAACATAACAAGAATCACCTCTGCTCCAGTTCCCAACATGTTCCTCATCTTCATCTGAGACTACCTCAGCCGGGACCTTATTGTTCGTATCACTATCAGCATTTTTGTCAAAAAGCCGTTCAACAAGTCTCTTGGAGGTTCCAAACTTTCCCACATTTTCCTTTCTTCTTCTAAGCTCTCAAAACTGTTTTACCCTCTTTCTATTACTTAGTTCCAAAGTTGCTTCCACATTTCTGGGTATCTTTTCAGCAACACCTTAGTCCTGATACCAGTTTACTGTATTAGTTCTTTCTCACACTACTTATAAAGACATACCTGAGACTGGGCAATTTACAGAAGAAAGAGGCTTATTGGACTTACAGTTCCACATGGCTACGGAAGCCTCACAATCATGGCAGAAGGTTAAAGACATGTCTCAAATGTTGGCAGACAAAAGAAGAGAGCTTGTGCAGGGAAAACTCCCATTTTTAAAACCATCAGATCTCACGAGACTCATCGACTATCATGAGAGCAGTGTAGGAAAGACCCCCCCACGTAATTCAATCACCTTCCACTGGGTTCCTCCCATGATATGTGAGAATTGTGGAAGTTATAATTCAAGATGAGATTTGGGTGGGGACACAGTAAACCATATCACTTCCTGTGTGTCACTTGAACATTTTTTTTTTTTGAGACAAGTTTTGCTCTTGTCACCCAGGCTGGAGTGCAGTGGCACAATCTCAGCTCACTGCAACCTCTACCTCCTGCGTCCAAGCAATTCTCTTGCCTCACTCTCTCGAGTAGCTGGGATTACAGGCGCATGCCACCATGCCCAGACAATTTTTTTTGCATTTCTAGTAGAGACAGGGTTTCACCATGTTGGCCAGGCTGGTCTTGAACTACTGACCTCAGGTGATCCGCCTGCCTCGGACTCCCAAAGTGTTGGAATTACAGGCATGAGCCACCATGCCTGGCCCATTTGAACATTTTTTAGAACTCCATTTTGAATTATTTGCAGTGTTGATGAGTATCTTTTTGACTAGGTTCCTTAGTGGTTGTTCTAGGTATTAATTTTATACGTGCATAACTTACACAGTCTACTAGTATTAACATTCCAATTGGAGTAATTTATAAAACCTTACCTTCCTTTAGTTTTTTACCTTTCCTAGTTTATAATATAGTGGTCTTAAATATTTTTTCTACATACTTTGAGAATCTTATCGCACAACACCAAACATAATTTGGAAAACCTTGAAGAAAATATATAGTATTTACTTATATTTTTACTATTTCCATTGTTCATTCTTTCTTCCTAATTTTCTAAGACTCTTCTTTTATCATGTCCTGCTTAGAGAATCCCCTTTAAACATTCTTTTACAGTTGGTTTGCTGGTGATAGATTCTCTTAGACTTTTTCTGAGATTGTCCCCATTTCCTCTTCATTCCTAAAGGATATTTTCACTAAATAGAGAATTCTGAATTGACAGTTATTTGTGTTTGACACTTGAAAAATATTGTGTCATTTCCTTCTGTCCTCCATGGCGTCTAATGAGAAATTCACCGTCATTCAAATTTTTTTTTCCTGTTGGTTAACCAAATGTTCTTTTTCTCTTACTGTTTTCAAGGTATTTTCATTGTGTTCAGTTTTCAGAAGTTTATGGTGTATATGGAATGAATTTTTTTGGTTTACTTTGCTTGGGGTTTGCTCAGCTTCATCAATCTGTAGGTTTCTGTCTTTTGCCAAATTTGGGGATTTTTTTTTCAGCCATTATTTTCTCAAATACCTTTGCAACTCCAATTATTTCTTCCATTGTCTTTTCCCTCTATCTAGTAGTATTGTGGTTGTTATTACCAGCACTCCACCTTCCTCTCTCAACCCCAGTTCAGAACCAGATCCTGCAGTAGAGTTTAGAGTTCTTGATCTAAAATGATGTCAGATATGTCACTGATTAAAAGGCCCACTTGTTGACATGGTTCTGATCCTGGTGTCATGGCTATGTCTTTGTCTTCCTACTTGCTTAGGCACACTACTTTTTATGAGAAGGAGGGGCAACCTTTTGTTGTTGTTGTTGTTGTTGTTGTTTAAACCTTACTGGCTTCCAGCAGTAATGCAATCTATTTCTCTATCATGGGATGAGTACCTTCAGTCTCTGTAACATACAAATCCAGCCCATGACACCACATGCTCCTTCTGGACTCAGAGCCCAGGAAACCTCTGGTTTTAGTCTCACCTTACTCTTCTGTCTTCTATTTGTGGTACATTGACATATTCATCTTACTTTTGGGTACTGCTCTGTCTTTTTAACTGTCACTGCTTCATCGCTTTATGTCTGGAGCAAAATGGCTGTGTTGAAGTGTAAATTGGTTGAGAAGCTCTTGTGCATTCTTTAAAAATAAAAAATGGAGACAAGGTTTCACTATGCTGCAGAAGTTGGTCTCAAACTCCTGAGTTTAAGCAATCCCCCTGCCTTAGCCTCCCGATTAGTTAGACTACATGCATGAGCCACTGCATCCAGCCCCTCTTGCATTCTTAATGCAGTTTGCTGAATGAAATCTCTAAATTATTTTGACTCTTCAATTTCTTCATTCTTTGCATTTGGTTTTACACAGAAAGCAGTGTGATTCTAAGCCAGTTATTCACCCTCTGTGGCTGCAGTTTTCTGAAATGCCTAGTGAGATGGTTGGACTAAGTTCTTTTTAGTTCTTAGAGTCTATATGTCAAGAAAGATACAAAATTATCAAGTAGAAGAAGTTATTCTTGATTCCAAACTTCAAAATCAGAATTCTCCAAATTGAAAAGATAAAAGCAGAGATAGTATAGAATTTCAGTTTTGATGATAGCCAAGGGCTTCTTGGCCATTAGAAGTAGGAAACATTTCTTGAAAAACGAAAAACCACCTTAGAATAAATAAAATACAGTCTTACAGGAATCACAAGGTAGTAATTACAAGGAGTTTATACTCCAGTATTCCAGGTGGTAAATATACATAATTTCAGGAAAGGTTTAACCAAATATATATTAGTAATTGAAGGAAGTGGATTTTGCTGATGTGGAAAACAGTCTGGCTACCCATAAAATACTCCTATATGCCTATTACTAGGGATGTAGAATACAGTGAGTTGAATTTGACCTAATATAACACATTTGGGATGATTTTAAATTGTTATTTTAAAGATTTGTTTTAGAAGTGTTATACTAAAATATTATCATCTAAAAAAATTACATATTATTCATTCCTCTGGAAGATGCCAATTTTGGCCATAACATTATAGAATTTGAATTCTTCATTGCATAAAGTTTTTGCTCCCTTTGTGTTTCATTGTTTTATGTAAACTGTAGGATGAACTTCTTGCGTAGAGCATTTTATAAGCGATTGAATTTCAAAAAGAATATAATTTATGGGCCTAGAGATCTAGAGGGAAAATAATAACTGTATCTGAGCTGTTAGCATTGTCTTAGTGACAGAGTAATGGACTGCATATGTAATGCTTGTAGGGGTCACATCTTTTTTTATTTTATTTTTTATTTCTTGAGACTGAGTCTTGCTTTGTCACCTAGTCTGGAGTGCAGTGTTGTGATACCAGCTCACTGCAACCTCCGCCTCCCAGGTTCCAGTGATTCTCCTGCCTCAGCCTCTCGAATAGCTGGAATTACAGGTGCATACCACCACACCCAGCTAATTTTTGTATTTTTAGTAGAGACAGGGTTTTGCCATGTTGGCCATGCTGGTCTCAAACTCCCAACTTAAAGTGATCCGCCTGCCTCAGCCTGTCAAAGTGCTGGGATTACAGGCGTGAGCTACTGTGCTAAACCAGGTCACATCTTTTAAAAGGCCATTTTTATTTTTGCTGGGCGCAGTGGCTCATGCTTGTAATCCCAGCACTTTGAAAGGCCAAGGTGGGCAGGTCACCTGAGGTCAGGAGTTCAAGACCAGCCTGGCCAACATGGTGAAACCCCGTCTTTTCTAAAAATACAAAAATTAGCTGGGTGTGGTGGCGGGTGCCTGTAATCCCAGCTACTTGGGAGGCTAAGGCAGGAGAATCGCTTGAACCTGGGAGGCAGAGGTTGCAGTGAGCTGAGTTGTGCTACTGAACTCCAGCCTGGGCGACAGAGTGAGACTCTTAACTCAAAAAAACAAATTAAAAAAGGCCATTTTTATCTAAAATTTTAGTTACTTTCCTGGGAAACCTATCTCAGATATTAAGGAATTCACTTAATATAATTTGTTACTAGCATAAGGGTCCAACTCTGAATTCATTATGTCATACCTGATATAAAAAGAAAAACATTACAGAATTGCATGAAGTAAAACATGAAAGTAGTCTTTTCCCCATCTTCCTCACTCAGTATAGCCACTGTTAACTCTTTGGGACAGGAAAGTGTGATGTTTCAAAGAGCTTTTTACATGATTTCAAAAGGTAAAAAATCTCATTTCAGGTTCTGAGCAACATTCATACAGTCAGAGCCACATGGCAATCTAAAAAGCCCAAAACATGGACCTTTTCTCCCCAGGTAAGTAATCTGCTGAATAAGTGGAATGAGTGAATTTCTTTTACCTATTAAATGTTAAGCAGTTAATTTATAATGTAAGACTGTCAAAGTTGAACATATTTATATTTATATAAATAGCACAGAGTATGTGGGGATAGATATAAATCTTTAGATTCTTTGGTGTTATTTCAGGACATTGATAAAAATTACTTAAGTCTCTGACTCACCAGTGTTGTAATTCCTGTGAATCATCCCATTCAGTGAATTTCAGGGTTCATTTTTAGAAAATTCTTATTTGATAAAAATGAAAACATAAAGATTACATTTAGGAAGTGAGGTGATTTTCAAAGATGAAATCTTCCAACTATGCTAATAAAAACTGTATTTTCTTCAGATAAAGTCAGGGGTGACGCCTAGGGAACTGCTACATTACACCCACGTACTGTCAAGACTGGAATAGCGTTTTGAGGGTTCACACCACTGAGTCAGCATTACATAGATGCTAGAGAGGACAAAGATATCTTCATATTGTTTTTATAATATCAATTGTCTATATTTTATTTTATGTTACTTTTGTCTACCTCCAAGGTCTCATTACTTTAGTATTTACTTCCCTCCCACAGCTAACTCCCTTATATAACTGCATCCTAAAAACCCTTAATTACCTTTCCTCTTACTGTATCAGAAGATCTTAAGGCAAGATGGAGGTTCAATGAGAGGGCTCAGGCTGTGGATGAAGCCAGCCACTTCAATCGTGTGCTGTGTCCGTCCACACTTGTCAAGAGTACACCTCCTAAAATTCCAGCTTGATCTTCTTAGCCGCCTTCCTCGAGTGAGAGGCACAACTTCCCTTTTCGCACAGTACTTCACAGTTCTGTTATTGCGACTCTGTATGTGAAGTGTTTAGGGTAGAATTTTTTTATGTTTTTCCTGGGGTAGAAAGATAAACTTTTGGGAGTATGTATTATTCTGCTGAATGAAAGTAGACATCTGTTACATGCAAGCATTTTTTTCTAGGCATGTGGAAACTTTTTCATGCCAGTGGAGTTCCTATTCCAGCAAAGTTAGTAGGGGAAAATACACACATAAAGAATAACAATATTGTCTATTTATGGAACCCTAATTGTGTGCTAGGCCCTGTGCCAGGCTCTTATGTACATTATCTTACTTAATCAGAGTAGTCCTGTGGGGCGAGTACTGTTGTTAACTACCCCTCAGGTAGATTGTAATGGTTTTGGCACTCTAAGTGCTTTGGAAGCACATAGGAAGGTAAAGTGAATTCTAGTCCTTTGGCTCAGGGAAAGTTTTATAAAAGAGAAACTAGACCTTGAAGGATGGGTAGATTTTACAGGCAAGAAGGGAGGGGTATGGTTGTCTAGGAAGAGGGAATTGAATGAGCAAAAAGGAAGATAAATGAAAATTCACAAGGCACACATCAGGAAAGTTGAGCAAATATGTGTATTAAGTCTTTAATTTTTGTTCTGTTTACAAAGAACAGTGGTTAATATAAATATCTTATAATGTATATAAACTATTATTTGTAACACCTGTGGAGACCTAGGTATAGTACTTGTTTCATGTTAGCCTCTAAGCAAAGAATAAGTGAAGGTAAAGGTATTTTCCCTTTAAAAGATAAATTAAATTTTTAAAATTTATAGTCATTGGCATAGATTAATTCAGCCCATCTGCTTTGTGTTTTTCTTAAAAGGCCTTTATTATAATGCAAATGCATAAACTATTTACTAACAAATAGGGCTGAAACCCTGTTCTTGTGATAAAGAAATACCTGAGATGGTATCCATTCTTGCGATAAAGAAATACCCGAGACTGGTTAATTTATAAAGAAAAGTTTAGTTGGCTCATGGTTCTGCAGACTGTACAGGAAACATGGCACAGGCATCTGATCAGTTTCTAGGAAGGCCTCAGGAGACTTCTAATCATGGCAGAAGGTGAAGGGGGAGCAGGCATCTCACATGGCAGAGCAGGAGCAAGAAGGAGGAAGGAGGCGCCACACACTTACTATTTTTTTTTTTTTTAAACAGTCTTACTCTGTTGCCCAAGCTGGAGTGCAGTGGCATGATATGATATCAGCTCACTGCGACCTCCACCTCCTGGGTTCAAGCGATTCTCCTGCCTCAACCTCCCAAATAGCTGGGATTACAGGCGCCCACCATCGTGCCCTGCTAATTTTTTTATTTTTAGTAGAGACAGGGTTTCACCATGTTGTCCAGGCTGGTCTCGAACTTCCTACCTCAAGTGATCTGCCTGCCTCAGCCTCTCAATGTGCGGCGATTACAAGTGTGAGCCGTTGCGCCTGGCCACATTTTTGAAAAAACTGATCTCCTGAAAACGAACTCACTATGGTGAGGACAGCACCAAACTATGAGGGATCTGCCCCCATGACCCAGACAGCTCCCACCAGGCCTCAACTTCAACACTGGGGATTATAATTCAACATGAAATTTGATGGGGACATTTATTCAGACCATATGAAACCCCTTCCCTTTTTTTATTTTTATCAATAACTTTAATTTCTTTATTATTTCAGGTTACTCGCATCTTGCCATGTTTGCTTGATGGTGATTGCTTTATCAGGTCCAATTCTGTGTCTCCAGATCTTGGAATATTATTTGAACTTGGAATTTCTTATATTCGCAATGTGTGTCCATTAAAAGATAAGGCTTTCTAATGTATCAGTTAAAAGGGAAGGTTAAAAAATGTGTCTATTGACAAGTAAATTCTTGAGGTCTTTATGTATAATAGAATTATAATCCCTTGAGGAATGAGAATGCCAGTGATTCTAATTTTGTATGTGCTGATTTTTTTCATAGCATTTACAATAAAAGAATATTTATTCACATTTATAGCTTGAGTGAACTCCAGTGATTTTGAAGAATAAAAATTCAAAAAGGATGGGACTTTGCAGAAAGTACTAAAAGATGCTTACTGGCATCCCAGCATCATGGTTCACCTCTGGCCTCCAGGGGAAGAATACATTTAGCCTTGTAACTGGGGTTTCTAATTAAGGTACTTGGCAGAGTAGCGATTTTTATAAAGCAAACACTAGAAATTTCAGTTACCTAAGTCACAGAAACGATTGAACCAGTGGGTGGGGCTCTGTGCTACTATTAAATGTTTCCACATACTAATAATAGCTTGAGAGATGTAGTATATATACTTGACCTCATGGTAACCCAGAGAGCCTTCCAGAGATGTTATATTAATGGTATTACACTGTCCATTCATTTGTTTAAAGCAAATTCATCCATATGTATTGTGGATGGGGTTGGACTGGGGAAAGGAGCAGGACCCCAAGCAAGCCTTGGGGGCCTCTAGCAATTGACATGGAGGTAAAATTCTAAGCAGAAAGCCTCGTGAATTATTAATATCTGCATTATGCCCGTCAGTGAAATTAAGGTTCATAATCCTATGTAGTACTGATGTGATTTGATATCACTCCACAGAATGCTTACATCAGTCAAGAGACAGTGGCAACAGTTGCCACATCATTGGTTTAAGGGATTTTCTAGAACAATTTTGAGAAAATATGATTGCCTCTTGATATACTACCTTTAATATCTGACCTGCAGGCAAAATGGAACTCTACTATGTTTCATTTTATTTTCTTGTGAAGAACCCTTTAGTTCTAAAGGCGAATACTAATTTTTTTCCTTTAAAAGTTCTTGGTATGTGCTTATAAATTTGACTAGTTCAGACATTAAGTTTCATATACTTGTCTTATTTCCTAGTCAACTGGTGAAAGAGGAGAGTTAAGTTGTGGCTGGGTGTTTCTTAAACTTTTTGATGCCAGTGGAGTTCCTATTCCATCAAAGTAAGTGGGGTATATATTCCTAACAAATGAATACTTCTGTAGAAATTCATTTTTTAGACTCTAGATACCTCAAGTTTGTTTTGTGAGCATGCCAATAACTTTTGGAAGGGCTTTTTATGTTGATTTTAGTGTTGTTTAGCATGCACATTCTCATCCTAAGGAGGAAGAAATGACCCCTAGAGAAGAGGTATTTTAAAAGATATTTGCACTAGCTGTCTGCTGAGAATATTCTTTCAGTAATTTCCTATGGTTTTAACACATTTCACCATGCTGAAAACAGAGTCTAGTTGTCTTCAAAGAGTGGGAAAGCTAAGTCCAGAGTCCTGAGGTACTCTGTGAGTCTCTACCCTCCTTCTGTAGGTGGGACATTGAAATCATAGCGGCAACCATGATAAATGATTTAAACTTTAAAATCAAAAGGCAGACTGGAAGTAAATATTGCAATATATATAGAAGAGCTAGAAGATCATTATCCCTAATATAAAAAGAGCTCTCAAAAATTAATAAGAAAAATATAATTCAAATTTTAACATGGAGGAAAAGAAAGATCTAAATCTAGGATATAAATAAGAAATTCAAGAAGGGACACAAATAGGCAGGCAGTAGGATGGTGATTAAGATCCCAAATTTGGATTATACAATTCTGGGCTGCAGTCCCAGCTCTACCCATGTAATTGTAGGTAGATTTCTTAACATCTCCATGTCTGAATTTCACCTATTTTTAATCTGGAGGATTGTAATAATTCTTACTCCAAAGGCTTGTGAGGATTAATTTAGATAATGCTCCTTACATGGCCTCCTTGCCACTGGGCAGACGTAGAGGTCCTGAGTCTACAAGTCCTTTGATATCATCCCAGTGGGTGGGGAGGGACACTGCATTACCCTGGGTGCCAGGTTTCTTGTGATTGTTTTTTGCTTTTTGTTTTTGTCTTTTAATATGCTCAGGGTTTTTAGCTGTGCTTAGTGGAAGAAATAAGGAATAGTATATCCATTCCATCTTTCTGAAAGTGAAGTCACAGCTATTTTTTTAAATGAGGTAGAACTCTGTGTATTAATACAAACACATTTTCTTTGTATTAGTATATGGAAAAAGTTACAGGATATTTTGAATACTGTGACCGTACTTTTGTTCATTAAAAACTATTTGTGGGCCAGGTTAGGTGGCTCACAATTCCTGTAATTTTAGCACTTTGGGAGGCCTTGGCGGGAGGATCACCTGAGCCCAGGAGTTCGAGACTAGCCTGGGCAACATGGTGAGATGCCATCTCTACAAAAATAAAAAAAAATTAGCCAAGCATGATGGCACATGCCTGTAATCCCAGCTACTCCAGAGGCTGAGCTGGGAGGATTGGTTGAATCCTAGAGGTCGAAGCTGCAGTTAGCAGTTTTCATGCCATTGCACTCTAGCCTGGGTGACAGGGTGACTCTGTCTCAAAAAAGGAAAAACAAACAAAGCAAAACTATTTATTAGCCTCTGTGGGTGGGTCTAGGTAATCTGTTCCCAGAAGTTGCCTCTGAGGAACAGAACTGAGGTGGTGCAGTGCAATTAAAGGGCTCTTTTACTTTCTTCTTTCTATACTTAGTATGTGACTTCAGAAGAAAAGCATGTAGTATGTTAGTTTTGAAGCATGTGTTAGTTTTGAAATTTACCATGTTTATATATTTGTTTGCATTTGCATAGAAAAGTTAGGGCAGGAGATTAATCAAACTAGGGAAGAAGGCATGGGGAGGAATTTTTCACTTTTTGCTTATCATTTCTCTGCCATTCAAACTTTTTAAAACAATCTACATTTTATATTTTAAAAATAATATAAGTTCCTAATGGTCGTATTTCAAATAATGATTCAACACATTTGAAAAATACATTAAAAAACAATCACTTGTCATTAACATAAGTCATTAAAGTCTGAAACACTTTAATGACTTGAATTAATTTTTCTCATTTTCAAGAAAAAATGTATTTTCTACAAGGTACAGTTAGGAAAGATAATTTTTCTCATTTTCATGGAAAAAATGTATTTTCTGCAGCTTATAATTAGGAAAGAAAGACTGTTTATTTGCCCAGGTGGTACCTCATGGAGGGTTCAACAATTATTATTTTCACTTACCAATGAGCCATAAATGAAATGTCTATGAGTGTATTTGTGCTAAAGAATATTTAAGTACTGATTCCAGTGTTTTCTAAATGGCCACAGCATGTATCTGTCATCTAATGTTATTCTTTTATAGAACTTATGAGCTCTTCTTGAATGGTGGTACTCCTTATGAAAAAGGTGTTGATGTGGACCCTTCAGTATCCAGAAGAGGTATGGTTCCCGTGTGTTGTCTTCCTTTCCTTAAAGATTAAACAAGTAGTCCAGGCACAGTGGCTCATGCCTGTAATCCCAGCACTTTGGGAGGCTGAGGCGGGGTGGATCAGGAGGTCAGGAGTTCAATACCAGCCTGACCAATACGGTGAAAGCCCATCTCCACTGAAAATACAAAAATTAGCTGGGTGTGGTGGTATGTGCCTGTAGTCCCAGCTACTCAGGAGGCTGAGGCAGGAGAATCACTTGAGCCTGTGAGGCAGAGGTTGCAGTGAGCCAAGATTGCCCCACTGTACTCCAGCCTGGGTGACAGGGCAGGACTCCATATCAAAAAAGAAAGAAAAAAAACATTCAACAAATAGAAGATACAACTGAGAGGTAGCTACACTCTAATAAGCATAGCATTTTTCACTTGGATTCACACTTTTGAAAATCTGTCATTTGATAGTAAAATTTTAATCATTTTTAAGTACTTATTTTCTTGGTAACACATATGAGACTCTAATGTGTGTTATCTAATGTAAGAAATCATGAAGAATGAGGACCCTGCATTAGTTCCTTTTCATTGACCACTGAACTGATACTTGTGACTGATACTAAAGCAGGAACCGCAGCGAGAAACAGACCTCTCCGACACTGAGCTAGGAAGGAAGGGATGATTTATTTCAGCCGGCAGCAAGGCAGCATAGCTGCCTAATAGCCAAGGTGGTCTAACAAAGAAAAATCTCTGTCCTTATAAAGGCTCACAACTCTAGAAATTATACTTAAAAGGGTTTTGTGTTACATGTGAAAGGGCCTTGGTTCATGGAATAGGCGTGGGGTATGTGGCTTATATGGGGGTTTGATCTTGTTTAGGTAAAAACAATGCCTTCCGGAAAGATTCCTCCATACCGTGCCTGCGATCTATAGGAGAGATTGTGGTAATCAGTAGCGGTCTTATTTTTACCCTGGCAGGCAGCACCAACCAGTCCCCCTTCTGGCTGACTTCTAGCTTCTCCTTTTGAGATGCAGTGCAGAAGTCTGAAGAGCATTAAGGGTCACCTTCCTCAGTACATAAGTAGTAGAATAGGCTAATACAGAGGGTGCCTATTGCTAGGTCAAAGGATGCAGGCCTTTGAAACAGTAATGTGCATGCCAAATTGCCCTCTAGAAATACTAAGCATCTTTTACTATGTTCATTAACCAGGCACTGGGCTAGAAAATGGGAGAATGAAGAGCAGGACAGATATAGTCATTGCCTTATGGGGCTCAGAGCCTGACAGATTTGGAATTCTATTTCCACTCCTCAGCCACCCCATTTGTTTGGTGATTCTGGACACACACCACCTCTGCTGCCCCACAATGCCAGTCCTGCCTTCTTGGAACAGAAAGGAGTTCAGGGTGTGGGATGCAGTTGGTTCTACCTGGAGTCAGACATGCTGTTTTCCTTTGTAATCTGGCAGCAATAATGCTGTAACTCATTAGATTTAGCAAACAACCCTGTGCCCTTAGGGAGGTCTGTCAGCTCGTTTAGGGTATGTGGGTGACTCTTGCCTTTCATGTAATTCAGTACTACTGGTTGGTATATTTTCATGAAATATTTGTTTTATTATACTCATTGTCTCAATTATTTAAAGTTTTGTGACTTAGTTTTGATTTTTCTTAAAAGCACACGGCAGTGTTTTCTACCAGATGATGGCAATGAGAAGGCAGCCGCAACTTCTAGTAAAACTGAGATCTTTGAACAGAAGATCAAGAAATGTCCTAAGGTTGGTACCTGCTTTTACTGTCCAGTGAACTTGGGATCATTCAGCACGTGGAGACCATCTCTGCTTTTGGCTTCTCCTCCTATTTGGTCATCTTTTGTTATAATATTTTTGTTCTCTTTAATTCTTCTGCCAAAGGTAGCTAGGGAAATGGGTAATAAAGCTGAAATTAGCTTACTCTTCTAATTACTAGTTAGCTCTTCTAACAAATCTGTCATTTGAGCTGACTAGTAAATAGAAGACTTGACTGAATGGGGCTTACCAATACGTGATTCTACCCTCAGGGAACTTTTTTTTAATATCAAGCTTATTGAGATATAATTTACATGCAATAAAATGTACTCTTTTTAGTTTATAGTTCTTTGCATTTTGACAAATGTACACCGTCATGTGATTACCACTACAGTCAAGATAAAGAGTATTTCCCTCACTTTAAAAGGTTACCTCATGCCCCTTTGTAGTCAGCTCCCTAGCCCCAGCCTCAGGCAGTCACACCTGTTTTTCCTTCCCAGCAGTTTTGCTTTGTCCAGAATGTCATACAAATGGAATCGTAACAGTAGGGAGCCTTTTGAGTCTGGCTTCTTTCACTTAGCATAGTGCAGTTGGGACTTACCCCTGCCATTGCTTGTGTCAGTAGTTTGTTCCTTTTTGTTCCGAATAGTACAAACAGTCCCTGACTTACTCAAGATTTTTCAATTTTACCATGTTGCAAAAGCAAAACCCATTCGGTAGACAGTATACTTCAGTACAGATTCAATAAATTACATGAGATATTTATACTTTATTACAAAATAGGCTTTGTATTATATGATTTTGCTCATCTGTAGGTTAATGTGTTATGAATATGTTTAAGGTAGGCTGGCCTAAGCTATGATGTTCAATAGGCTAGTTGTAGGCAAGACGTAGTGGCTCACACCTGTAATTGCAGCACTTTGGGAGGCCAAGGTGGTAGAATTGCTTCAGGCCAGGAGTTCAAGACCAGCCTGGACAACATGGCAAGACCCCATTTCTACCCCCCCCCCAAAAAAATTAGCTGGATGTGGTGACACACACCTGTAGCCCCAGCTACTTAGGAGGCTTAGGTAGGAGGATTGCTTGAGCCCAAGAGGTTGAGGCTGCAGTGAGCCATGATGACATCATTGAACTCTAGCCTGGGCAACAGAGAGAGACCCTGACTCAAAAAAAAAAAAAGGCTAGGTATATTAAATGCATTTTCAACTTATGGTATGTTCCATTTATGATGGGTTTCTGGGGACATAACCCACCATAAGTTGAGGAGCATCTGAATTCCATTTGATAGATATACTACAATGTGTTTATTCATTTACAAATTGATGGGCATTTGGGTTGTTTCTCTGTTTGGGAAATTAAAAATAAAGCTACTTTGAACATTTGCGTACAAATTTTCTACATGTGGATATATGTCTTCATCTCTCATGGGTATAAATGCCTAGGAGTGAGATTGTCGGGTCATATGGAGTTTAACTTTATAAGAAACTACCAAATTGTTTCCAAAATGACTGTACCACTTTGCACTCTCATTAGTGATGTATGAGAGTTCCAATTACTCCATATTCTTGATAGCACTTGATATGATCAGTTTTTCTGTTTTGTCCCTTCTAGTAAATGAGAGTAGTGGTTTGTCATGGTGTTTTAAATTTACATTTTTCTCAGGGAGCTTGTACACCAATAAAATCTCAAATCTATCAGTTTTTCCCTCAGTACCCTCTTAGACAAGCCATTTGACATCTCTGTCAGGGTCGTAATGTCTACATATTTAAAATGGACATCATAATAATAATATCAACCCCATAAAGCTGTAATGAGGTTTAATGGAAAGAAAGCATATAAAACACTTAGCCAGTATTTATATTGTGTGCCACATAGTAACTAACACAATAGTGTTAGCTATAATTATTTACTATTACAATCTTCTTATATATAGATAAATGTAAATATAAAGGCAAGTAGATGGTGCCATGTCATAAAATTTGTTCAAATGAAGATGTGTAGATGAAAATGAAGATTTGAAGTTGCCTTTGAAGGATTGGGTAGATATGTAGGAAAGGAGCTCCACAGAGGGCACAAGAAGACAATAGGTGGGAGGAAGAGCATGGCATGGGACAGAGACTGTTGCAGCTGAACTCTCCCACCATGACCTGCTTATTGCTCACAGATTATTAAGAAGTAAGGAAGTAAAGGAAGACTTAGCATATCCCTCTGAATGTTTTTTCTCATTCCAGGTCATAGTCTTAGCTTAAATATCCCTTGTTCTTATCTCTACTACTGAAATTTATTTTATAATTATAGTGTTAACAGTTCAATCTTTCAATAACCATTAATAATGTGTTCATGGGTATTATTTACTCTCTTAGCTTTTTCCCTTTGGATGTTCATAGAGCCTGTAAATTCTCTTTTTTGGCCAGTCTTTCCTTGGAAAATTGTTATTTTTTCAAGATAAGAAAGAAAGCAGCACAGTAGTAGTCTTTGTGAAAGAAAAGCCAAATCCTGTTTGGCCTCATTCTTCCTGTGCCTTTGGCCTCCCCACTACTCCTGTTGATAAGCCTCCAAGAGTCCCGAAGCACTCCCATGCGTGTCTTTCAAGTACACCCCTTCATAGTGTTTCTTTGGCCCCCAAATACTGGTTTTCAGATATTTTGTATGAACTCAAGATCAAATTAGACCATGTGGTACAGAGGTTAGCAAGGCAGCCTCTTTTTCTTAAGCAGTGAATGCTAATCTATATGCTGAGCTCTTAAAGGTCCTGTGTCCTTGTCCTGCACACCTCAGGACCGAGGCATTTGTTTCATTACAGCACACAATAGGCACCCAAAAATTGTTTGTGAAATAATTTCAAAGCAAAACTCTCCCTGCTAGTGTAAAAGTATACTCAGGGCCTCTGCACAGCCTCCACCTGTCCCTGGCTTCCCTCTGCCTTGTTTTGGTGTGTGCTTTTCCAGAGACTTGAGTGCTGGCTTGAAATTGCTTCTCCACTTTGCATGACCCCAAACCATAAACTCCTGGGAATCTCAAATGTGAGTTGGGACACACCACTCTTGCAACTCCAGACACAGGCTGGCTTGAACAGAAACCAGGTCAGGAACAGTGAGACCAGAGGCCCTGGGCCTTGCAGCAGGGCTGGGGGCCATAGTGGGAGGGCTGTGCTGTGAGTTCAAGGTAAGAGGCTAGGCACCAGCCTGGGCCCTTTTGGACATCACTCTCTGAGCCTCTGCACCCTGGAGATGCAGACTGACACAGGACTGATCCATTTCAGCATCCTCTCCTCCCCTGACCTGCTACCTTCAGTGGGTGGGAGAACAAAACAGGTAATGACACCAACAGTCCTTCTCCTCCTTCCCTTCAAAGGCATACCCTGCTTCTATCCTCATCCTTGCTTCTTTACAAACTTCACCTTTGTTTATGCAAAACAAAAAAAGCTTACAAACTTCATCTTTGTTTATGCAAACTTCACCTTTGTTTGTGCCAAAAGACATAAGACAATGTAGACAGGGCCAAGGCCAGAAAACCTAGTTAGAGTTTGTGTTCGTGCGCATTTTTACCCAGTGCCCTTGCTGCTTGGCTCTATATTGCCCTCTGATTCAGCCTGCAGTGCTACACATGTGTATCTTTTGGATATCAGGAATCCTGTGAAAATATGAATTATTTGGTGTAGACCAATGGCACCGGAGTCCTGCTCATAGGAATTGGCAGTCTTGTTTTGTGGAGTTGGTTATGATCATGGTGACCTTGTCAACATAAGAAAAAGAGAGCAAATAGATGCTTCAGTTTCACCAAGATGTGTCTTTTAGAGCTGTTTTCCTAAGAGGTTTAACTTGATGTGATTTGATCTAAAGCATGTGTATAATCCCCTGAGGAGGGAAAGTCCTGAATTTGACTTCAGATTCCCAGTGCATGAGTTCTGAATATGAAGAAACCCTGGTCTGTAGAAGTAGGTTGCGTATGTTTCTCTGTGTGTGTGTGTCTGTGTGTGTAAATTTGCTATAAATTCATTATCCTTTGCTTTTCTGATGCATTCCATCTTTTTTTTCTCTTTTACTTTTATTATATTCTTGCTAAAATAAATAAGGTAATAACATTAGTTGCTTGATGCCCATTGATTGTGTTCATTGCACTCTGCCACCAGAGTTTGTTGGTCTACATGTGAATTCATTTTTACTGAAGTATATTTTTACTTAATTCAGCTAACCTTCAGCAGCCCAGAACTTTCTATTCATCTTGAGTTTGGGAAAATCAGATGCTTTCTCTAAAAAAAAATAATGAAGGGCAAGCAGCATTGCTTCATGTTGTGGGAAGGTGCCAGAAGGAAAGGAGTGCCCACACTGGGTGGAACAATGCCTGCCAGGCAGAGCAGGCAGGTCTACGAGAAAAGGAGAGGGCTGAACAGAAGAAAGGAAGTCCCTACCCCTTTCCTTGGCAAAATCAATGGCTGTTCTTCATCATGAGCCCTAAATTTGGCATGCAGCCGAAACACTGCACAGTGGGACCATGGACCAATGGGCAGAGCATGAACATGTTGTTTGTGAGCTAAGGTTCTGTCCCCTGCTCATGAATATATCCATGGTCCCGGAACAACCTGATCCCTGATCCCAGGAGTCACAGCCTGATCCCTGAGAAAGTTGGCACTGAGGCAGCTGAAATGGTCCCCTGCGTCTGGTCTTTAAATGTAGGTCAAATGTGTACAAGATCAGAACTTAGCCAGGTTGGAAAAAGATAATTTGAAAAAGACAGTTTCTGACTTTGTGTATCAAATGCTGTATATCAACATAACTGTGCTGAGAGAACCTGTATTGTATTTTTGGATGTTTCTAGAAATTCAGGGTTTAAAGAGTGGTCAAAGATGCTTATTTAATGCCATGAAACTAATTACCCATGGAATCCATTGCTTTTGCCTCATCACAGTGGTCACATTCATTCTGTTCTCTTCCAACAGGCTGGAAGCCTGAATATTACCTCTGTGATAATTTTCCCCTTTTAAAAATCTCATCTTAGAAATTAAGATAAAGTATTAATTTACAAACAATAAGTTCTCTTTTTAAATCTTTGGTGGTTTTTCTCAGCCAAAAGACATCTTCCTTTTTGATAGAAGACAACATATCATTTGTAAGGTTTTTTGAGATATTCTATATGGTCCTTCTTCATGCTTTATGACAGAGTTTATATATTTCTTAAAATAGTATTTAGAAAATATTTGTTTAGAATGATCTAAGATATTTTCTTGAGTACTTTGAAGGGTTAAATCTTGTGTTTAATATATTCCCAGTATTTACTATGTGTCATGTGTGAGAGTCTTAAAGAGCTCACTTTTCATGTTTCCAGATTATTATTTTGAAATCTAAATATTCAAATTTTTTCTATTTTTAAATTTATGACTTTTTTGATGCTATCGTAAATTGTTTTCTTAGTTTCCTTTTCAAATTGTTTATTGTTAGTGTATAGAAATGCAATGATTTTTGCGTGTTGATTTTGTATTCTGAAACTTTCGTAAAGTCATTTATTCTGAAAGTCTTTTTCATGGAATATTTCATGGAATCTTTTTCTACATATATTCTACATATTTCTACATCATTTTGTCTGCAAACAGAGATATTTCTCCTTTCTTAGAAAAATATTTTCATTATTATGTTGAGTAAAAGCAGCAGGAACAGGATCCTTGTCTTGTTCCTTATCTTAGAGGAAAAACTTTCAGTGTTTCACCACTGAGTATGTGATGTTAGCTGTGGGCTTTTCATGTATAGCCTTTATTATGTTGTAGTAGTTCCTTTCTATTCCTAGTTTGTTGAGTGTTTTTATCATGAAAGGATGTTGAATTTTGTGGTTTTTCAGCATCAATTGAGAAAATAATGTGTTTTCTGTTAATGTAGCACATTATGTTGGTTGATTTTTGGATGTTGAGCCATCCTTGTGTTCCACAAATAAATTTGACTTGGTCATGGTATATAAGCTTTTTAATGTGCTGTTGAATTCACTTTGCTAACATTTTGTTGAGGATTTTGCATCAATATTCAGGGATATTGGGCTTTAGCTTTTTTTTTTTTTTTTTTCCTCTTATAGTATTGTTGGCTTTGGTACCAGGGTAATTCTGACCTTATAATGAGTTTGATAGTATTTCCTTCTCTTCAATTTTTTGGAATCATTTGAGGAAAATTGGTGTTAATTCTTCTTTAAATGTTTGTTAGAATTCACCAGTAAGCCATTGATGCTGGGCTTTTCTTTATCAGGAGATTTTTTTTTTTGATTACTGATTCAATCTCCTTACTTGTTATTGAGATTTTCTATTTCTTTATGATTCAGCCTTAATAGGTTTTGTGTTTCTAGAAATTTGGCTATTTCATTTATGCTATCTAACTTGTTGGCATAGAACTATTTATAGTACTCTCTTACACATTTTTTATTTCTATAAAATCAGTAGTAATATCCGCTCTTTCATTTCTGATTTTAGTTGAGTCTTTCTTCCTTAGTCATTCTCACTGATGGTTTGTCAATTTTGTTCATCTTTTTGAAGAACAGACTCTTGCTTTCATTGATTTTTCTCTGTTGTTTTCTATTTTTTATTTTTTCCCTCTCTAATCTTTATTATTTTTTTCCTTCTGCTAGTTTTGTTCTTCTTTTCTAGTTCCTTAGGGTATAAAGTTGGGTTGTTGACTTGAGCTCTTCCTTCTTTTTTAATGAAGTATTTATAGCTATAAATTTCCCTCCTAGGACTGTTTTCATTGTATCTTACAAGTTTTGACGTGTTTTGGTTTCATTTTCATTTCTCAAGATATTTTCTAGTTTCTCCTGAGATTTCTTCTTTGAGCCATTGGTTGAATGTGTTAATTTCCACATATTTGTATGTTTTTCCAGTTTTTCTTCTGATTTTGATTTCTTATTTCATTTCATTATGATTGAAAAAAGATACTTTATATGATTTCAATCTTTTTAAATTTATTAAGACTTATTTTGTGACTCAACATATAGTCTTTCCTGAAGAATATCTCATGTGCACTTTCAAAAATGTATATTCTGCTGTTGCTGGGTAGAGTGTTTTGTATATGTCTGCTAGATCCAATTAGTCTACAGTGTTATTGATCTTTTGTTTGGTTGTTCTATACCTTATCAAAAGTAGGATATTGAAATTTTCTCTATTATTATAGATCTATGTATTTCTCCCTTCAATTCTTTCAGTCTTTGATTCGTATATTTAGGAGCTCTGATGTTTGTTGCATATATGTTTATAACTGTTACATATTCTGAATGGACTATTTTATGATTATACAGTATCTTTCTCTGTCTCTTGTAACTTTTTTTGTCTTGAAGTCTATTTTGTTTGATATCAGTATGGCTAAACCTATTCTCTTTTGGTTGCTATTTACATGGAATATATTTTTTTGTATTCTTGTCTTTTCTACCCATGAGTGTCCTAAGTCTAAAGTGAGTCCTTATAGATAGCGTATAACTAAATGTTATTTTTTTAATGCATTCTGCCAATGTATATCTTTTGATTGAGGACCCTAATTTGTTTAGATTTAAAGTGATTACTAATAGAAAAGGACTTAATTTTGCCATTTTATTACTTATTTTCTGCTTTTCTTATGCCTTTTTTTTTTTGGTTCTTAGTTTCCTCCCTCACTGATTTTCTTTGTGTTTGATTTTTCATAGTGACAAATTTTGATTCCCTTTTCGTTTCCATTTGAAAATATTCTATAGATATTTCCTTTGTGGTTACCATGGTATTACATATAACATCCTGAAGTTTTAACGATATATTTTAAACTAATACCAACTTAACTTGGTATTACATATAACATCCTAAAGTTATAGCAATCTAGTTTAAACCAATACCAACTTAACGTCAATATTGAATTATTTTTTGTTTTCTAGTCCTTACTATATACCAGACACTACATTAAGCACTCCATACTTACTTCATTTTTGTTGTTGTTGTTGTTTTGTTTTGTTTCATTTTTTTGAGACCGAGTCTTGCTCTGTCACCCAGGCTGGAGTGCAGTGGCATGATCTCAGCTCACTGCAACGTCCATCTCCCAGGCTCAAGGGATTCTTCTGCCTTAGCCTCTGAGTAGCTGGGATTACAGGTGCCCACCACCACACTTGGCTAATTTTTGTATTTTCAGTAGAAATGTGGTTTTATCATGTTGGCCCAGCTGGTCTCGAACTCCTGACCTCAAGTGATTCACCCATCTCAGCCTCCCAAAGTTTTGGGATTACAGGTGTGAGTCACCATGGCTGCCCCACGCTTCATTTTAAACTTCTGAAATGCAAGTATTACTATTTGTATCCAATAATTAAGGAAACCAAAGCACAAGGAGATTAATTAATTTAAAGTCACATAGCTAGGAAGTGACAAAGTCAGGACTTATTCCAGGTCTGTCACACCCTCCCATGTTCCACCCAGTATTATGAACAGCCTGAGTTTGTATTTCCTCTGCAGTCACCAAATCAGGCGTGGCAGCCACATGCCTTTGTTAAAGCTTGTAGCTGACTAGTCCTTTTTTATCCAAAACATAATTGATGGTTTCTCTTTTTTATCTGACATTTAACATAGGTGTATATGCTGAAATGGAAGCACAAAAATGGTCACACAGAGTTGAGACTTGAAAGCATAAACAAATACAAAAAATTATCTGAAATTTAATGTGACTTACTTTTCGTGTAATTATTTCTTCAAATTGTTAAACATGTGTTCCAGTAATGAAGCAGAATTTGGGACCATTTATTAAAGTAATATAAATCAAAAAACATTGTAGGTTGGATTGTCTAATGAATGCATTTTTTTCTTCTTTAATAGTCTACTTCCAGAAACATTAATTGGAAGTATGTGTTCCATTCACTTGTTGATATTTTATCGACAAATTCTTGGAGATGTGCTCCTGAAAGACAGGATGAGCTTACAAAGTACTGGTAAGTGGGCTTCGCCATTTCCTTTTGTGCAGTAATGCTTCCTGCTCTGAGTAAAGGTAACCTATATCAACTTGTATCTTCTGTTTCTGATTGTGACTTTTAGAATAAAATATTTAGAACAGCATTGTTGTTTATACATTACTTATGGGACATCTTCGGATGCAGAACTTTGTGAATTAAATACATATTCAGTTCTTTCAAACATAGTATTTTCACCTTTCAAATTCTGGAGTTTTGAGATCCCAAGACTCAGATATAGTCATATTTTCCCTTAATGTCTCTGAGTAATCTGTTTTTTCCCATGTGTTTGGTGTGCACATAATCATTTTGAAAAGAAACCAAAATCAACCATCATAGCTGGTTCTTAGTACATGAAGTGTAAATATTAAATAGATTAGTTAAAATAAGTGAATCCAGATACAGAGTATTACGGTGTCCTGTGTACTGTCTGCCTTCTTGAAACTTCTTTGTAGGTTTGAAATTTTTACCAAATAAAATATTAATAAATAATCTTAAAAATCAATGAGTTGTCATATATGATTGAACTACAAAGAGAAATGCATGTGTTATAATAATTGCCTCCAAAAAGAAAAACAGTTTAATTTTATTGGCTCTTCTTTCATTGAATAAATCAGTAAGCAGATGTGTACTGAGTCCCTGCTATGTGGCAGATACTATGCTAGACCTAGTGATGAATGAGACAGGCATAGGCATCCCAGGCCTCAAACACATAATTACATAAATAATCCTTTCCACCCTTTTGAAATAAGTGCTGTGAAGGAAAATACACAACAAGAGCATGTGCTGGGAAGACTTGACTAATGTGTAGGGCAAGGAAAGTCTTCTTTGAGTGAGTAATGTTTAACAAAAGATGTGAGAGATGAATTAGACCTATGAGGGAAGTGTATGGGGAAGGATTCTTTCTGGATAGAGTGACCAGCATGTCTGAGGATCCAAGGAAAGAAGACATGCATGTGTTGAAGGGCTTGAAATTGAGGCAGGCCAGTGTGGTTGGAGCAGAGTGAGTGAGGCTTAGCATTTGTGGACAGATAATGTTCATAGGCAGGAGTCCTCTCTCAGGGACATATCACCTGGATAGATAGGTAGAAGTGGAACTCAAAGGCAGAGAGGCACAGAAAGTTCTCAAGGAATCATTGTAACTCTTAAGGAGGAGAACAGGTAAGCCTTTTAATCACCATTGCCTTTGAATTCATTTTGATGACTCTCCAAAGACTTCATAAGTAATATGACTTCTCAAAGAGGATAAGGCTTGTTAGTTCTCCCAATAGGTAAGAAGTTTTCTCAGAATTGGTGACTTTGTTTGAATTTAATTATCAGAATGAAATATCCTAATAATATCTAAAGAATGAATTTTTCTCTACTGAGGACACCAGATTATAGAATACCTTGCCCTTGCCATTTCAAAAGTGTCTGCTATGGTTTAAATGTGTCCCATTTAAAATTCATGTTACCAATGTTATGGTTTTGCAAGATGGGGCCTTTGAGTGGTGATTAGGCCATGCAGTCAGTTTTCTTATGAACAGGTTTAGAGACTCTTGTACGAGGGCTTGGTTAGGAAATTTGTCTCCCTTACCCTTTTGCCTTCAGCCACATGAGGACACAGTGTTCCTCCGCTCTGGAGGATGTTATAAGAAGGCCCTCACTAGACACTGAATGCCAGTACCTTGATCTTAGAGTTCCCAGCCTCCAGAACTTTGAGAAGTAATTTTCTTTTGTTTATAAGTTACCCAGCCTCAGGTATTCCACGACAGCAGCACAGATAGATTAAGACACGTCTTTCCTGGTGTGCTGCTTTGCACATGTTTTTCATGTGCCATTATCTATTGTGAAATGTCAATATCTCCTCCACCGTGTTTAGTTATATGGCCAGAATCTTCAATTCCTAATTCTTCCCATTTCACCTACCACTCTCTGCTGGCTCCAGACACAAGTTTGGGTCCTTCCCTGAGCACTGGTGGACTGGAATCAGACCTGAGCAGCAGTCCCTCTGCCTCATTTCCTCTGGTGCTTCCTGGTTTCCGCTCAGTCTCCCAAGAGGAGGGCTACCTCTAAGAAGAAGATTCCTTTTACCATGCCACGGCCATAAGGAAGAAAGAGAAGTTGAAGAAAAACAGAAAAACAAAATTTTGCCTCCTTGCCCTCACTCTAAAAGCTCCATTAATTTGGTACAAGAGCTCGCCAGGATGTAGGTATAGGGGCAGATGAAGGTTGAGGGGACAGCTTTGAGCTCTCCTGGAAGTCAAAGCGTGTAGACTATTTTATCAACAAATCATTTGGCACAATAATTTTCATCTGAATATTTTTGGGTCGATTGCAATAAAATCCATCCAGTGAAGTTTGCATAAAATTCTTTCTGTTGTTTTGCATTTCAGATTTAATCAGTCATCCCATGCTGGCCACCTTCCCCATGCTCTTGGAGCAGCCTGATGTGATGGATGCCCTCAGGGTGGGTAGCATGCATTGCAAAGGAAGCCTGCTGGCTTCTGGAAGCAGCAGTTATACACTCTGTGTTAATAAGTTCTGTCACCTAGTCTAGGCTTTTTTTTTTTTTTACTAGGATGATGTCTTCCAATCGCTGTCCATTGTCTAGGTAAATCAGTCTCATCTTTCCCATTTTAACATGAATGCCCAAGGTCTGCCTTCCCTGACCCAGTGAGCAGATGGAGTGCCTGCTGTGTACGCTATTACAATCTTTGCCTGTTTTTTTCCTTTACTTAAAATGGCCACTGATTGTGTCCTAAGAGCAAAAATCCAAAATGGCCTGTAAGATAAATCAATTGAGTTTCCAGAGGAGAGTCCAGGGCATGCATACCATCTTTAATTTAATTCCATGTATGCTATTTGCTGTCTGAAATAACAGCTGGTTATTAGGTTAAATCACATGAAATCTCCCAAGTTTTAGCTGTTTTTGGCCTAAGGGGCAGTTTCATATGGTTTAGCCTAATACATCAAGGTTAATAAGTATTAGAACAGCTCTCTGCATGCAAGGCAGATACACAGGTAACATGACAAGTACCATGGGGGAGGTATAACCCAGGACCTTGAAGATTTAAAGAAGACAGCAAAGGAGGAACCAAATTGTGTTTCATTAGAGAGGTCGGGAGTGAGAGAGCTCAATAAAGGTCAGGGCCAAGAGGATCTTGACCTGCTGAGATGGGGGTGAAGACATTGCAGGTGGAAGGGTTAGCATGAGCAGACATTTGAGGCAGGAAGGAATAGAGCTGACAGTCTAGCTTGGCATGTCAGATGCAAGTAAGGGAGTGGTAGGTAGATGAGCAAAGTAAGTCTGAGTTTCGGTGTGGGGCTGAGGGCTGTGGTAGGTCATGGGTAACCCAGGAAGGTTTCTTCTTTAGGCAAACTCTGCCAAGTGCAGAGAGGCAGAACATGTGCAAGAGGAAGGTGAGCATATCAGGGGATGCTGTTGATAAAAAAATAGGCCATATGGGCCTAACGGTAGAAACAGAAGGAGGACTCAGTCATCTACAAATATTCTTATTAGACTTAGAAACGAATTCATATGCTGGCTTGGCTGGGGTGGGAGGTGTCAACAGTAACAATGACATTTTCAACAGACATGTTTAAGAAAATGTTCATGGTGCATACGACCTCCTATAATTTTAGATAGGTTCATCTGGCGCTATAGCTAGATAATGCAGATTTTCTCTTTCTTCTATAAAATCACAAGTGTAATAATCATTTATTATATAGACCATACATACACTGATTTATTCAACCAAGATTTCACAAGAGCTCACTATGTATTAATATAAGTCTTCATGCTGGCCACAGGAATATTTCCCTAGGTGCGTAACAGTCAGGAATCTGGACCTTGTTCTTAGGAAGAACCTTAGGAACCCTAATTTAGTCTAAAATCTACATTTCCCTGATGAGCAGACAACTCAGAGACATGTAGTGACCTGGCCGGCCATGGAGCTCAGCAGTGAGCAGTGAGCTCCAGCCAGGGCTCTCCCTGCAGGTCAGCTTTGGGTGCACCCAGAATGTGCCATGGGCTGCTCAAGAAAAAGCATGTGGGCAAAGTTGTGCACATAGGATATTTAGCGAAAAGACTCCATTTGAGGCATACTAAATATATTTAAATATATATATATACATTTATGTATCTGCCTGTGAGAAGATCTGGAAGAATCTATTCCAGAGAGGTATCAGTGAATACCACTGGATCTTGGATTATTTTGTCTACATTTTCTTAATTTTTTTCCACATTAAATTATTTGTATAATGACAATTTTTAAAAAGAAAATGGTGGTTTCTGCACCATGAGCCTTCTCTCTGTGTCATAATACACTATTACTTAGGAGAAGCTCAGCTGTGCTGTGGTGTTCGGCACAGGTTTCTTTCTCACCTGTGGTATGTATCCAGCATGGATCAGTGGAAGATGCTGCTCCACAGTCACCCAAAAGTACAGACTGGTGGAGCCTCCACTGTCTCACAGCACCATCTGGAACAAATAGCTGCGTCTGTTGCCAGTTTCCCTGCAGAAGAGGGAGAATAGAGCATTGTTCTTAGACTTTCACTACCTTTGCTCCAAAGGGGACTGGGCCACTTCTGCTCACATTGCATCGGCCCAAACCGGTCACATGGTCCATGAACTTCAAAGGGGGTGTAGTCTTTTTTTTTTGTTCTAGAAGAAAGGAGGTGGATCTTGGTGAACTAGTAGTGAACTTTAACACATTTGCTATTCCCAGATGAGTTACTCTAAGTGAAACATCCTACTGTTTGCTGGTGACTCAGTGAAAAATAAGGTGGGACATTGACATGTAACCAACAAGCAATATGCAGATTTTGCCAGACACTAGGTTTAAATTTGCTAAGTGATATTCACGTTAAGCCATATTGCTAGGTTGGTACAAAAGTAATTGCGGTTTTTGCCATAAAAGCAATAGCAAAAAATCACAGTTACTTTTGCACCAACTTAATAAAATTTAAAATGTACAGCATGTGAGCCTCCTAGTGTTTACTTACCTAGCACAGTTCATGACATTTTAATAATAAGAAGAATGGCACCCAGCCTGTTTAGTAAAACACTTTGGTTCTCTTAAGGGTCCACTTCAAACTTTCAAGGACCCATAGGCACAGCAGTTAATAGGGTGGAGGACTATAGTCCCCTCATGTGGTAATAGGTATGAACATTCCAGGATGTTCATACCTATTTGTAGCATAGTCTCTCATGAGTAGCATAGTCTGTTATCTTCTGGTAAGAAACATTCTGTCAGTGCACCATTGTATGGAGAATCTCCTTCTTGGTGCTGTATGTTATATTCAACCCAGGGTCTCCCTGCTGAGAAAGGTCTGATGCTTTCAGGGTACCCGTAATATCAGGTGCCAACAGGAGGATATCTGCTGACATGCACAGACCCTGGAACAGGCAGCTATGAGACTGGTCATATTCCACCCACGCATTCAGTTTGCCAGGAACTGGCACTGTGAAAGTTTTAAATTCATGCGTCTATGGGACTGATTGAATTCTGGGGTTTCTATTTATTTAAGGAAACTTCTGTGAAGCCTTGTGAATAGAATAGAAATGTTTATTTACAAATTTGTACTTCAGTCTATCTCATTCTGACCATTGTCATCATTCATGAAAAAATTGTAGAAAAGCTTGGTATTTTGCAATGTTTTCCATTTTCATTACTGTCTTACTTGGAAAGCTTAATACCATTTTATTTTTCAGGCACTGTGTTTATAGTTTGCATGGATGTGTTAGTGTTTCACTGATTCTGTTCTTAAGTTAGTTTTGATTTATAATTATCATGGGCTTCTAAGGCATCTTTCATAGATACATCTGCCTAGTCATTCTACCTAGTCATTTGCGATAGATGCCTAATTACAGATTCATTTCTTGCTTGTATAGAATCTGTACAGCATTTTTAACCCTATCCATAAGTTTATTTACACAGTAAAGTTGCAGAAGTGTTGCAAGGACTTGTTACTACTTGGACTAATACAACATTTCTGTTTGCTCTTTAGAGTTCATGGGCTGAAAAAGAAAGTATGTTAAAAAGATCAGAGAAGGTAATATGATTTTCCACACTGAACTTCATATTTGCAGTACCTGGTGTTTGCTTGCCCATTCTAATGTTTCTTTTTTAGCAAAAGTAGCCGTAGCCATAATCCCTCTTAACCAAGGAGACTGTGTCATTATGGCTGCAAAAACACATTCCAAGAGCGTTATGCATGATTGTTAACTAATGTGAGAAGGAGCACTTGTTCAAGACAGTCGTTTCAGATTACTGAGTTTTATTTAAAGAAAGGGGAATTTTTTAAGCCAAAGTCTCTCAGTTGTATATCAAGTTTCTTTTATTTTTAAAAAAAACTTCTCTAGCTCTCAAAGCCCGTATCAGGTAAATAGAAGAAAAAACAAAAAATTGGCCTGAGCTGTACCATATATTGAAAACAATGCGTTGCTTCTGCTTATATTGCTATAGAATCATTGTAACTACCAATCCGAACTTGCTTTAATCAGTGAGTAGTGGTTTGGTTGCTCTCATCCAGGATTTGGCAAATGTTTCTGGGAAGGGCCAGATGGAAAACCGTTTTGGCTTTTCAGGTCTTACGGTCTGTCACAGTACTCAGCTCTGGTGTTGTAACACAAAAGCAGCCACAGACAATATGTAAATATAACCAAATGTGACTGTTTTCCTATAAAACTTAATTTATGAAAAGAGGTGGCAGGCCACATTTGGCCCACAGTCCATACTTTACCAATGTTGATCTAAAATATGCATTATCTACAGGGAAAGTGAAAGAACGAATGAGCTGAAAACCCTAAAAATTGGGAAACAATTTATAGATTGTATCCTTATTTGAGCATCCATTTGATCAGTACCATCTATATGCATGTGACCTTTGCCAAAACTGTCAGGTTTAGTGCTATTCTAATACAGCAGTGGGCAAGGTGCTGGCCTCAGGCCTGTAGACATTGCCCTTGTGTGGACATGTGTGGTGGGATGGGTGATGGCTCTGTGTAGACTCTGCTGCCTAGGGACAGTTCTGCCCTCAGCTTGTTGTGCTCTCTGAGATTCCCACCATGGCCTGTGGGCATCGGGGCTTGACATGGGTACAATTGATACTGCACCATTCTTATCTGGGAAGGGTCTGACATCCTCATCATCAAAGGACCCCTCAATCTCCATGCCAGGCTTTGCTGGAAATAAGCCAACAACTTCCCTGGATTCCATGCAGAACACCTGCTACACTTCTTTTAGATAACATGACAATTACCTCTGATATGCTGTCAGTAAGTAGGTATAGCTGATGTGGCATTGTTTTAGTTATATTTACCTAGAACCACACTGGGGTCACCAGAATTAGACTGCAACACCTTGACAGAACGTGTGAGACATCCTCCATGGAGCTTAGGAGACACCCTGGTCTCATGGAGCCATGTAGAGGCTCTCTCAGGGAGAAGCACTCCACTGTGTGACTCTTACTTACTCCCACTTCTGAAGTGCTGTGTTCTGCCTGAGCAGCTGGCTCAGAGTCAGTACCCGCCAGGCACTAATGACACCTTCCATCCCACCTTTTAAGTGGCTTTTAGTTAATGGAGTTCATAGAATCTAACACTTTAAAAATAACGATATTATTTATGGGGGTGGTGTTTTCCCAGAGAGACAAAGAGTTCCTGAAGTCCACGTTTCTCCTGGTTTACCATGACTGTGTGCTCCCACTTCTCCACTCCACACGCCTGCCCCCATTCAAGTGGGCAGAAGAAGAGACTGAGGCTGCACGATGGAAAATTATCACTGACTTCCTTAAGCAAAACCAAGAAAACCAGGGCGCCCTCCAAGCTCTGCTGTCACCAGATGGAGTTCATGAACCTTTTGACCTTTCAGAGCAGACCTATGACTTCTTGGGTGAAATGAGAAAGAACGCAGTGTGACAGTGACAGCCTCTAGCCCTCAGCTTCCAACAGAATTGGATGTATCTTTCACGATTACCTGAATAAAATGACAGAACCAAAAATTGCTGTCACTTTACAACTTAGGCTTTACTCTTTTCTTTGTACATACCCTATTTTTAAAGAAATGTTTATGCAATAATTTAAATATTTTTGAAAACTATTAGGAGTACTGTCATTCTAAATTTAAACCGAATTTTTTTTTCAAAAAACTGGCTACTTAATGGTATAGGCTTCTGTAAAAGCAAGATTTTGTCAAAAGCTAAATTTATGATTATTAAAGAAAGTGAAAAAGCATCCCACAGAATGGGAGAAGATATTTGCAAATCACATAACTGATAAGGGTCTAGCATCCAAAATATTTAAATTTATGAGTGTTAATGAAAGTTTTCTTGTTGAATGAAGAGGAAGTTAAAGTGATTCATTTAAGAAAGTTGTAATCACTTAATTCAGTCAGATATTTGAATGTGATTTACCTCTAATTAGGTACAAAAACAGAATTACTTTTGCCTTTTTATATCAAGAAAATAAGTGCTCTGTCAAAAGAATGAAAACAAACTTTCAGGCACTGGAGAGTGGAATTGATCCATCCTTTCAAAGAAGAAGGATGAGGTACTCAGGTTCTGTTGCATTTCAGATAAACTTGTGACTGCTGGTAAAATGTCCCAGGTCTTTCCTTTTAGTGATAAATAGTAGCAGCCTGTGTTAATTGAGCACATACTGTGTGTCTGAGCATTTCTCATTAGCCTACTATAGGAGATAGGTACTGTATTTTTTTTTTATTACTGCTGAAGAAACAGGCCAGGTAGGTAAAGTAATTTGCCTAAGGTCACAGGTAATAAGGGGCACAGCTAATATTCCAAGTAAAGATACCGTGTATAATTTTCTACAACCTAAGATGCTCTGCCTCATCAGCGCAAACCTTTAAGAATTCCTTGTGAAAATAAAGTATGAGAAAGAGTTTAACCTAAATAATTAGGATCCCATTAGAGGTACTTGTTTTTTGATGGCATACTGCCTTAAAAGAGGCATTTATTTTTAGAGACCTGTCATGCTATGAAACTTCTGGGCTATGTGTTAGCTGACATATCCTAAACCCTTAACCTAAACTTAACTTGAGCCCCAGTCTTGGAAATTAACATAGTGTGAAAGAGTTTCCTGGCCAGGTGCAGTGGCTCATGCCTATAATCCCAGCACTTTGGGAGGCCGAGGCAGGTGGATCACCTGAGGTCAGGAGTTTGAGACCACCCTGGCCAACATGGTAAAACCCCATCTCTACTAAAAATACAAAATTGCCTGGGCATGGTGGTACGTGCCTGTAATCCTAGCTACTTGGGAGGCTGAAGCAGGAGAATTGCTTGAACCCAGGAGGTGGAGGTTGCAGTGAGCTGAGATCGCGCCATTGCACTCCAGCCTAGGCAACAAGGGCGAAACTCTGCCTCAAACAAAAAAGGAAGAAAGGGTTCCCAGTCACAAATGTGACAAGTGAGAACTGGGCCTTAGAAAAAAGATTTCATTCTCCAGGAACTGGTTTTAGGAGCTCTCTCCCTGTGTGTGCCCCTCTGCCCTCAACCACACAACACAAGGCTAAGTGTGGCAGACACCTTCCTTTTGCCCATCAGCTGCCTGGGCATGCTTACAAGGTGGTGCTCCCACTTCTCTAGCGCGGTGGCCCTCCCCAGCTCCTGCTCTCAGGGAGAGGGATTTGCCTTTCATATGGAGGTGGTAAGTGTGCACAGATACTTTTTTCCTACTGTTACTGAGTTGCCTCATCTTACTCTTAGTCCCCTACAGTCCTGTTTTTGAAATAACATAAGCCCATATCACTCTGTAGAATCTATAATTCCTAAGCTTCACCTTTTTATTTTTTATTTTTATTTATTTTTTGAGGCAAGGTCTCACTCTGTCACCTAGGCTGTAGTGCAATGGTGCAATCACAGCTCACTGCAGCCTTGACTTCCCTGGGTTCAGGTGATCTCCCACCTCAGCCTCCTGAGTAGCTGAGAACACACACAGATGCCATCATGCCTGGCTAATTTTTTTTTTTTTTTTTTTTTTTTGTAGAAACTGTCTCACTGTGTTGCCCAGGCTGGTCTCGAACTCCTAGATTCAAGCAATTTTCCTGCCTCAGCTTCTCAAAGTACTGGGAATATAGAGCCACAATGCCTGGCTATCTCTTCTTTTTTATTTTTAAACATTTGGCTTATTTTTAGCATTAAACCATGGGTGGGGCCTTTTGAATGAAAGAAAATGCTAGTAAATTTCTTTGAGTGCATATACAATACGAAAGAAAAGAAAGATTTTTTCAGAATGTGTTTTCCAAGACTGTCTTCCATGTTCATTTGAGAATGTGTCATGAGCTGACAAATGTGGACAACCTCATAGTGTCTAACACATTAGGAAAGTATAGGGACACCAGAGAAAAAGTTTCAGTGAAGCTTTGGCCAGAAAGTGAGGTACATCTGGAAGGGAGAGACCCAGGGGTGTGGGCATTTCCGCCATAAGAGACTCCCATCTTCTCTTCAGTCAGTGGAATCTTTTTTTTTTTTTCTTTTCAAACAACAAAATCTCTGTGACTTTAAAGGCCACTTACTGGCTTCCAAAACAGGAAGAGGTTGTCAAGGAGCCAAAAACATCTTGGAAATGAGTCCTCCTAGGTCTGTGTCAAGGAGTGTGAGTTTAGCAACTCACTGAATTAATCATAAGAGTCGTGGTGGGTGGGCAGGCAGCAGTAGGGTGACCAGCAGGCCTTCACTGAGTGACCACACATGTGGTGCCTATCCGCGAGACCAGGGGGACTCACCACATCTGAACTATGGAAAGGCGGGCAGGGTGGGGAGTCTGAACTGCGAACTCCCGTGACCCACTCCTCCCCACCCCCTCAACGTCTTTTAATTGGTTGAGTGTCATATCCGTCAGGCCTGCAGAGGTGAAAAATGTTGCAACTCGCTTGCCTGGGTGCTCGGGATGAATGTCTAGGGGCAGAGGCAGATATTAAGGAGCAGGTATAGTCTCTGTCTTCAGTGGTTTTATGATCTAATGTACAAGGCCAGAGCAACTCACATAAAACCAGCTGAAATACATAATACCGTGTACAAATGGAGCAAGTTTGACTTGCCAACCCAGTAGCAGTTGGGAAAGTATCAGTTTAGCATAGGAGGCCAGCAGTGTCCTCTCTCAGCGGAGGGCTTTGTCAGTTTGCAGCATTATAGGACATCCTTTGCTGTGAACTGCCTCAGCTTCCTCTTGTGTGAAGCGTTCTAAGTTGGGAGGCTTTCTTGGGGTGTGGAGGTGATCAGAGACAGCTGTCACCTAGCTGTGTGATGTTTCCTCAAAACAGAGAGGAAGAGAGAGAACCTTACTTAGGGCACTTTGCATCTAAGTGTTATGACTGTCCATTCCTCATTTACTCAACAAGTGTTATTGAGCACCTGCTGTGCTCCAGGCATAGCACTGGGCTTTGAAGATAGAGTGAGAGTAGCCCTGGCAAGATCTCTGTCCTTAGAATGCATGAGGTGGACAGTAATCGCACAACACAAAAATTCATTGCAACAATACTATGGCTTGGGCTGTTAATGGCCCTGTGGCAGGCACAAAGTCAATGGTAAGTGTGCAGGCATTCCTTCCTGTCGTCTCTGTCCCTCTCCCAACCCCACTGTCTGTTGTTGAGGACCAGTTAGATTCAAATTAATTTTCAAATGAATCCCTTACTACCTGAATTCCCACATTTACCATCTGAATTCCCACATTTACTATCTGACACATGGATTTGGTAACACTGTATCCCTCAAAACTCAAACTTGCTATCTGAATTCTGATATTTGAATGCAGTAACCAAGTCAATTTGGATACAGATAGATGGGTATAAAGATAAGTGAATGGGCCAGGTGCAGTTCCTCACACATTTGGGAGGCCAAATCAGCAGATTGCTTGAGACCTGGTATGCAAGACTAGCCTGGGCAACATGGTGACACCCCCATCTCTACAAAAAATACAAAAACTAGCTGGGTATGGTGGTGCAGGTCTGTAGTTCCAGCTACTCAGGAGGCTAAGTTGGATTGCCTGAGCCCAGAAGGTTGAGTCTGCAGTGAGCTGTGAAAGGCTATGGGGATATACTGTCTCATAGGCAGGAATATGGAGGTTGAGGATGTTCTGACTCAGTGAGGACTGATACTGAATGAGGCATCAGGTCTGTGCAGCAATATAAAACAGAAATCATTAATGGAATACAGCTCACACTTGGGACTTTGGTAGTGTGTCTGTCCTTTAGTCCTTTTCTGACTATATGTAAGACAGACTGGACCTTAACCTGCTCATTTGCCTCTGACTTTGCGAGCACAGATTAATAACTTTGCAGAACTATGTCCTTCAAAGAGGACAAAGTTTTGGGGAATACAAGGGTCTCCATGCTTTCTGAACTCTTCTCCAGGTAGGAATCTCTGGATGACCCAGACATTATCCAATTGAGTCCTTCCTCTTTCCTGGCAGCTGTGCTGTACTTGCCCAACTCCAGAGACACAAGAAGCCAGACTCAATTCTGCCTCATGGCTATGAACATTAACCACAATATCTTCCCAAGTCAATCGGTGTGTGCATTCTATCTACTCCATTTGAGAGTTAGAGACGTTGATTTATAGAAATAACAGTTGCAATCTAGTTGTGCCTAGCAAGCCAGAGCCAGTGGGACATGTGTGTTCTTGCAGCAGAAAAGGTGAGAGCTGTGCGTCTACTTTTACAGTGGCAAGCTACTGTAGTGGACATCTGGTGTTTCTGCTGCCCAGCCTCCATATACTTCTGTCCTGGTACTGTCACCTCCCCCTTGAGTGGGACTGTTCAAGTCATTGGATGAAGTCTAGTCTGAAGCCATTTTTACCTCTGAACTTCTAACTTCCTAAGGTAATAAGTTCCCTTCATCACTAAAGCCAGTTAGAATGGATTTTTCTAACATTTGTTATTGAAAGAATCCCAATGGATACAACTGTCTATTCTTTCCCCCAAGTATCTCTGGATTTCTTCTGGCCCATCTCGTCTTTTTCATGCAAGTAGTAAATTGTTTCTGAAAAAATAGATAAAGCAATTTCTTAGTGGGAAAAGAGTTTAATGAAGAGGAGTCAATAAGGAAGGAGATAAGCAGTTGTCTCCAAAGTCTTTATGACTGTTTTCATGACTGTTTCAATCATTTAAAAACATTTATTCAAAAAATATGATTTATTGAGTACCTTCTGTGTACCAGGCAGTATTCAAGATGGTGGACATGGCTGTGGTTCATCACATGAACA